CGGTCTGATGAAGGGTCTAGGCCCGAAACGTCAGCCTCTCTGCTCCTATGATGCTGCTTGGCCTGCTGTGTTCATCCAGCCCTGCACCTTGTTGTCATACATTCTGTGTGGCCTCCTATAGTGACCGGAAGAGGTAATGTGAATTCAAAAGAGAAATTCAGTGAAAACAAGTTCAACCAGTTAGAGCAGGATGGTGCTAGATCTGGAGTGTTTGGGCCACCATTCAATGAAATGACATTGTTTATGGAGGATGACGGTGTAGAGACATTGTACATCCATTGTGAAAAGGAAACAGTGAGGGTTAGAAAGCCGGAAATTGTTAAAAGTGGCAAAGGACACCGGAAGTGTTACAGATGTGGTGGATGAGCCTTGACAAAGGGAAACAAAATTAGAGATAGGAAGAATTCAGTTGGATGGGGCAAGTAATACCAGGATGATTAAATTTCTTTACACTGTTATTACATCAACTCAAACAACAGTACTAAGCACAAAGCTAGTTCACTGATTGTACATTAAATAATAGTACTAGTCTCCTTATCAGTATGTGGCCTCTAGAGTTGTAGAAATCCCTGATGTGATCTGTACCAATTTCAACTGGACACCCACATTAAACTTTATCAAAGCTGAATTGTGACAAATTTTGATGGCTTTTTGATTAAAACCTCACAAATCTTTCCAAAACTTTATTATTACATAAAATTATGAATGTCTAATTCTCATGGAATAATATAAGTGTTTCGACTAGTCAGACTGGAAATCTATTGTTTAGAAACATCAGTTGTCTGGAAGTTCTTTGAGCAGAGCCATTTATGGCGTCAGTTTAGTACAATATATTGAGAGCAGAAAAATTGAAGATGTGTTTGGGTTAGTAAATTCATTACTACGAACATACAACAATGTGAACAAGGAACAAGAGTAGGTCACTTGGCCCTTTGAACTTGCTGTGCCATTTCAAGATGATCATGGCTGACCTGATTTTAACCTCAACTTGTCATTGGGGTCGATTAGCTCAGTTGGCTGGTTGGCTGGATTGTAATGCAGTGTGACATCAATGGTGTGGATTCAATTTCTGCACCAGCTCAGGTAACCATGAAGAACTCTCCTCCTTAACCTCTCCCCTTACCTGAGGCATAGTGACCTTCAGGTTAAACCACAATCAGTCTTGTCACTCTAATAAGAGAGGAACCCAATGATCTGGCAAGACTATGGTGATTTGATTACTAAAAGGATGAAAGATTATCAGAAATGTAAAGATTGAATCTATTTACCTCTGCCTTAAAAATAAAGATTCTGCATGCATCATCCTTTGAGGAAGGGAATTCCAAAATACTCAAATCTCCCAGAGAGAAAATGTGTTTCTTCATCTCTATGTTAAATGTGTGACCCCCTATTTTTAAACTCTGATTCCTAGTCCTAGATTCTCCCACAAGAGGAAATATTCTTTTGACATTCATCTGGTCAAGTCCTGTCAGGATTTTAAATATTTCAATTAAATATTTCAATTGACTTTTCTAAACTCCAGCGGTTATAAGCATGCACTGTTAGCCCTTCCTCATAAGGCAACCTTCTCACTCCAGGTTTACTACTTTAAAGTGTTTTATGTTTAAGGTAGCTATGTACATCCACAGTGGTTTCTGTTTCATGTACATGATTAGGCACAGAATGTGATTCTATAATGCAGAAAAGTCAGAAGTCCAGAAATGATTTGGTTCCAAGCATTCTGGACTACAGGGTTACAATTGACTTACATACAAAAGAATCTCAATAATTATTAAATTCATTAAAACAGGTGGACAAGAGTTTTATTTCTTCAACAGTTTCATGACAGTAGTGGACTTTAGGGAACCACAGCCAGAAAGAGAAGAGTTTTCAATTTTTAGAATTGTGTTTCCATAAATTAACCTCAAAATTTGTATTGAAGTTGTTAGGTTTCTGCAACAGAAATGTTTGTAATGTTCAGGATATCATGGATGAATATGAAAATGAACTGAACTTTAATTGTATCCCATTGTAATAATCTGAATGGAAAAAGTACCAAAAGATGACCAGACCCTTTCCTTCAAAAGGGAAATAAGCAAAAAGACGGGAATGCACTTTCACTTCAAACTGATCCTGATAACAGTTGTTACACTCTTAAGAAATCAGCCACGACACCCAGCACCAAGGTGTTGCTAGATCAGAATTTTTTAATTTCCCCTGCCAAGGAGGGTCATAATATTCTGCAGTTCTCATTCGTGTCCCCTACTTGCCCACCCTTGACCTGATTGCAATTTTATGGGAGGCAGATGAGGCCTGAGGTGGCATGCCTTCCCTCACCCCAAATGACACCCATAAGTGGCCAATTAACAAGCAAGTAAAGGCCAGTTGCTGCTCAATTTCCAGCTAAGAGTGAGGAAGTCAAGAGAAAGGAGCACAGCACATTAGCCTGCTCAAACTAAATGCATTGTTTGATAAGTGGCATGTTATAGAGCATTTATAATTGCTTGCTTTAATTGCTCAGAGAAATATTTGTATTAACTGTTCGATCAGAGACTTACAACAATGAGAATTGAAGTTATATAGGTAATTGTCTTCTGATTGGCTTTCCTCTGTAGGTACAGTTTCACAAAAGGTTAATGTTAGCAATCAGATAGAAAATAGTGGCAAGGTTTGTTTTGCTTTTTACCATCTTGCTGTCATGCTAAAATATATTTACATTTATCATTTACAACTCCTTCTCTCGGTGCTGTGTCATCATTACTCATGCCAAAATTAATGAACTTAACATTCACAAGTCTGCAAGCCTTAATATGATGAGACCTGGCTTTGAAGTTATCTCTAAAGAAAAGTCAACCAGAAGTTGATTGATTAAAATGCCTGAGTTTCCACTAGTAATGAGATGAATCAGAGTTGCCAGTGAGAGTTGGGTCACAACACTTTCTGGCTTTGGTGAGCTGTGAAGTTAAACTTGATTTTATCTTATTTACTTAAATTAAATTCCATTCAGCTTAATGATGAGCTATTTAAGCCAACATCACAAGGATGGAAGCCGGATAGGAGAAGTTGACATTTTGAGCTATTTCATAATATCTGTTTGCTAATTTTGGCTAAACTTTACATACTTCACAATCGAATTGAAGATAAGTTCATTAATTTAGAGATTTCACAGATTAGTTTATTTTCATTAAGACAGATATATTTGAATCAATAAAAGTTTGCAAAACAAGCTAACTTTCCCCATTTTGAATTAAATTTTTATTTTGCAAATTCAGGTAACTTCTTTAAAAGCTCAAAGTGCTAGAGAAATTCAACAGATCTGACAGCATCTGTGGAGGCAGAAATGTTTCAAGTCCAATATAACTCATACTTCAGAACTTTATTCTCTTTCCACAGATATTGCCAGACGTGCTGAATTTCTCGAGCATTTTCTGTTTTTATTTCCAATCTCCAGTACCTTGCAGTACTTTGCTTTTATTTGAAGGTAGCTTATTTATTTGGGCTTGAAAAGGTGCTAAGGTTAGGGCAGCATTACAGCTCATTTTACAAACATCAACATGCACAGAGTTAAAAATGACCCAGGATATTAATTTGAGAAGATGGAATCAGGCAGCATAACAGCTGTACCCAAAAATAAACATATGCAATTCTTAACATCATATCATCCACTACAGAATTTTAATTGATGTGCAATCATAAAATGGTTGTAATATTTCAAAATTTGCTTCATGAATAAAATTGAAACTTTACATAAATTGTTGAGTTTTGTGACAGGTTACAACTTCATTAGGGTCACCACTACAAAAACGTTCATGTCTGCAGACAACAGAGACGAAGGAACGTTGAGAACTTTAGACAACTGATGACAGAGTTGAAGTATCACATAATGCATGATAATGCAGTAAATGTTTTAATTTAGAACATAGAACAGAACAGCACAGTGCAGGCCCTTTGGCCCACGATGTTGTGCCGAACTTTTACCCAAAACCTAAGGTCTATCTAACCTCCCCCGCTACCTTATACTATCATCCATATGCCTACCTAATAGCCGCTTAAATGCCCCTAATGAGGCCGACTCCACTACCCTCTCCGGCAATGCACTCCACGCCCCTAGATTTGTTTTGCTGCTTAACCAGTCATTTAATTTAA